GGGGGAGGAGGAAGAGGAGGAGGAGGAGGTAGATAGATAGAGCGGCCTGGGGGGCGGAGCAGCGCATGAGGGCAGCATGGACAGGCCCCCGCCGTCGCCGCTCAGAGCGGCATCTTCATTGTGACCACGGCGCCACGCAGCGCCCGTCACTTGCCAAACGAGGCGTAGCCGAACGGCCACTCCCGTCATAGTTCACATCCCAGCGGGCCACGCCGCCAGCTCATCTTCCCTGACTCCCGCCTGTGGCTTGCCCGTCTTCACTGTTGCTCCTGCCTGTAGCGCGGCATTGGTGATGGCCTGCTGCAGCTGGAGCTCGGACGGAACCTCCTCTGCTTCCGCCTTCTCGGTGTATACGGTGAGCCTCTCTTGGTTGCTGTCGATAGCCTTGCTGCTCTTCTGGTGCTCGAGGATTGTGAGGGCCGCCGCTGCGCCGATGGAACCCGCGAGCTTCTCTTGATCCGTCAGGACGTTCCCGGTCTTGGCCCCCTCTTCCACGGCGCTGACGGTCGAAATATGTGCCAGGCACATGCGACCCTCGGGCGGCCCGAAAGTACGTCCCTTGCCCGCCCCACTGAACATGTCCGCGTAGATCTTCCTGCGAGCCATCGAAGATTTGATCATCTTGATCTGCGATGTCATGAGGTACGTGCTGTAGATTGCTGCCACCACGCAGGCCAGCTGCTGCATGTTGGCGGACGCCTGCTGCATGGGGACTGTGGGGTACTGCTGGAGCTGGGGGTCCCACTTCGTTTGGTTGGCCTCTCCTCCTCGCGGGTGGCGCTGAAGGCGTTGTCCTGCTATGGCTGCCGCGGCTGGTCCTGCTTCGCGCTTCTCCTGCGCGCCCCCCGTGACCGCGACCTCGCCCGCCGCGGAGCCCACGCCCTCTCGCACTTTCGCCTCGTTGCCCTCGCCGCCGATGCGATCCGACTGCTGGTGCTTGGCCGAGCGCGCGGTGACCGCCATGCTGCTGGCCAGGACGTGGATCCCCTTCACGCTGGGCACGCGCCAAGTCGTCTGTGTAGAGGCCGACGTCTAATGAAATCCCATGCTGCTCAGACGGCAGGTGCATCTCGCAAAATGCGGTCCTGCAAGCTCGAAAGATCTGTAAACGGCGGTAGATCAGGACAGAGCTGGCATACAGGGTCCCCCACTGACAGCAATGGGTAACTGAGTCTCGTGCTGTCGGCGATGCAGCGCGGATGCTTGAGAGACCGCAACAGATGGTCTCCCGCTTGAACGCGATCAAGGAACGTCGCACGACAGAGAGAACACTGATTCGTGATGGTCACTGCTGCCGCTGCCGATCGCATTCCGCGCCCTCCACCATTTGTCGCGGTCTGATGCGTGCAGGGCGCTGCCCATGTCGAACAAACTCTGCCGCAGACTTGTCCTGTGTCCTTGTGCAGCTCACATTTGTAGAAGCCCAGCTCGTCTCCATCTCGCACATATTATGTTGGCTGCTGTCGTTCGAACCCTGGCGGGGCAATCGAGACTGCCGATGCCTTGGCCCGGAGCTCTGCCACGTCGATATCGAGGAAAACCGTAGAGACTTCTGTGTCATGGTAAAGTTGCGTGATGCCGCCACCCCACATGTAGCTGAACTGGTTGGCGCTGTCAAGCTCGGGGATAGCAAGGATGTCCCGGCAATGCTGCTTGGCCATCGGGTTCGCCTCGGTCACGAGGTTGCCCACGTCGCCCAGCTCGCCGCTCTGCCCCCTGTTGACGTCGTTCTCGAACTGGATGGAGCCCAGGAGCGCCGCGGGCTACTCGTCGTAGTCGGACGGGAACTTGTCTGAGGCCTGTATCCTGCGAAGACGTCTCACACGTAGCTCTATGAACATTGGCGAGCTGTGGCAGTACTTGAACACCTCTATGTTGCTCATGGTGCGGTAGGTGCCCTGCGCGTCAGTATTAGTTGCCTTGCCTTGCATGAGGGCGCGCAGGTACTTGGAGATGACAGTGTCGAGGCGCTTGTAGTATGTGGCCTGCAGGTAGTACGACTCCGCGCCGCTGCTGGCTGCGCCCACTATGCGGTTGAGGAAGACGATACGCTCGAGACGCCAGGAGACGCGTCGGTACCAGAACTTGCCCAGAATATGCCATGCGCGCTTCATGCTCTGGATACGCTGGTCGATGTCGATGGCGTCGTTACCCGCGTGGTGGAAGTGACCACCTAGGTACTTCATGGTACGTAGTACGCGACCAGGTAGGTGTTGTTGAAGTGCGCGATGTTCGCGTCTGGCGCGAAGTCCCCCGACGATCTCTTCTTTGTCCCTGTTCTGGTGGAAGCCGTAGTTGGCGAGGGCGGTGTCGAGGATGGTGTTGCTGTTGGCTAGAACTGCGGCGGCGTCCTTGGCGAGGCCCGACTGGATGAGGTGCATCTTGAGGATGTCGCCCACGTACAGGTAGATGGAAAGGTCGATCAGGGCGCGAGTATTGGGCGAGACGGCTGCGAACGGCTTGGAATATTGTGGTGTTTGGTCTAGCCATTGTCCGATGGGTATCTCGTAGACAAAGTTGGATGAGGTGGGCCCAGTACTACAGCCTGGCATCACTCCTGAGCCCATGCCGAAGTTGCCCGTGTCGTCGAAACCGTCGATCTGGACGCTGGCGCATTGGTACCGCTGATGTAAGAGAAGCTGTTCGGTAACGCAGAGGTCGGGGGAAATCGTGGCGGCTGTCGTGTCAATCCTGGTGCTGGGGAAGGCGTTGGTCGCGTCCTTGCTGCCCACGATGAAGTCTGCTCTGGCGCGCTGGAGGAGGTATGCCACGATCCTGGATGCTGCCATCGGTACTTCGCGTCGACGGCGGGGCCAACAGCCGTGAGCGTGCGGAGGTGGAAACCATGTCTTCGACTTGCACTGCAGCTGTCGGTAGAAGCATCGCCAGAAGGGGCACAGCATGTGTAGGATGCGGCGGCCTAACGTATTGGGTTTGCCGTTCTGCTTGTCGAGGGTGAAGCTCTTGCTGTGATGGGCGTCCAGCGGTGCAAAGCCAACCCGGTAGACGTGGTTGAGGACGGACTCGAAGCACTCCTCTATGAAAGGGGCGTCCACGAGCACGTCGTCGTACCCAATTCCTGTCGTTTGGTGCTTGGGTTTGGTGATGGTGGTGGGCTGAAGGATCATCTGGTAGATCTCGGCAAGCAGGGAGGAGGTGGAGGCAGCGCAGGAGGGGGAGGACGGGGAGGAGGGGGAGGAGGAGGAGGAGGAGGAGGAGGAGGAGGAGGAGGAGAAGGAGGAGGAGGGGGAGGAGGCGGAGGAGGAGGCGGAGGACCAGTGCAAACTCAAGACTCATCATCGATGTTGGAATAAACCCTCCCGCCGAGCTCCCTCTTCACAGGCCCCTACCAGGGTTTATTGACATTGTGGGAACTGCCTCACTGGGAGACAACCGATTGAAAACCCTGAAGCATGCCAAAACACCATTCCCGGTACTCCAACGCCACGCATCAACCTGATTGATGCGTCTTGACGATCCCGAATCGCGCCAGAACACCGTTCCTGGGACTTCAACACCGCGAACCAACGTAACTGTTGCACCATCACACTCCTGAGTTCTTCAAATTATCCCAGTGCGACCCTACCTAGGAGTTGGAGCCCCTAGGAAAGCAGCATTAGTAGTAACAGTAAAGCTGAACCAAAGCTAAGCTAAAGCTAAGCTAAAGCCAGGCTGAAGCTAAGCTCAAGCTAAACTAAAACTACGCTAAAGCTAAGCTAAAGCTAAGCTAAAGCTAAGCTGAAGCGAAGCTAAAGCTAAGCTAAAGCTAAGCTAAAGCTAAGCTAAAGCTAAGCGAAAGCTAAGTTAAAGCTAAGCGAAAGCTAAGTTAAAGCTAAGCTGAAGCTAAGTTAAAACTAAGCTAAAGCTAAGCTAAACCTAAGCTAAAGCTAAGGTAAAGCTAAGGTAAAGCTAAGCTAAAGCTAAGCTAAAGCTAAGCTACAGCTAAGGTACAACTAAGGTCAAGCTAAGGTCAAGCTAAGCTAACGCTAAGCTAAAGCTAAGCTAAAGCTAAGCTAAATCTAAGCTAAAGCTAAGCTAAAGCTAAGCTAAAGCTAAAGCTAAAGCTAAAGCTAAAGCTAAAGCTCCCAGGGGACTGGGGGGAACCGCTCCCAGGGGACCGGGGGAACCGCCCGGGGCGCTTTCCACTGCCCGGCCCCTTTAAGCTAAGAGAGTAAGAACCCTTCTAGGCAGAGCCTAGGTAGGGAAAAAACACTTCTGGTACGCTGATCATGGAAATCCGTGATGCTCTTGCAGTTTTTTTGAAACGGCACGAAGGCGAGAGCCACATGTTGAAAACGAACCGCCGACAATCCATCAAGCTCTTGCGAATGTGTAAGACGAATGCGCGCGACGCTAAGGCGAGAGCCACATCTTGAAAACCAATCACCCTCAATCCGTTAAACTATTGCTAAAAAGAAAACACATGTGCGAGGCGCTACCGCGAGAGCCGCATTTTGAAAACCACCCGCCCTCAACCCGTCAAGCTCTCGCAAGTGTGCAAGACGAACGCGCGCGACGCCAAGGCGAAAGCCACATGCTGAAAACGGATGCCAATGTGAAACGCCCTTCATTTGTGAAACGGATGCCCATGTCTGAGTTCCAGTGTCATCGGATGAAAAAGAAATCTCAAGCGAAACGCCCGGCCCGCCCTTTCGACCGGCCTCGGGGCGCGACAGGGCATACTTATTCACGAAGAAACAAAATGCTGGAGGAGGACAATGAGCAAATGGAGGAGGAAGGATGAGGAGGACGATGCCTGGGAAGATGCTTGGGGGCAGGGGAGCGCACATCGCGCCCCCCGACCAGGAAGAGGAGGAAAGGAGGAGGCGGAGGAGGGGGAGGAGGAGGAGGAGGAGGAGGAGGAGGAGGCGGAGGAGGAGGACGACGACGACTACGACGAGACGAAGACGAGGACGAAGACGAGGCGGAGACGTGGACGGGAGGGGCCGAAGGCAGAGGGGCCAGGGCGGAAATGGGCACGCGCGGGGGGAGGCTTAGGCGCCTCTGGGCGGCGAGGCCCTCGACCGCCGAGCGGTGGAGCACCGCGTCGGCGCCGCGGGCGGCCGCGATGATCCAGAGCTTGGGAGCGTCCTCCTTCGGGGGGGGGGCGCTGGGCAGAAATGCGCGCCCGCCGCGCGCGAGCGCGCCTGGGGAGGGGGGGGGGGCGGCAGCAAAGTTGGCGGAAGGAGCAAAAAGGGGAGCAGGAAGGGGGGGAGGAGGAGGAGGAGGAGGAGGAGGAGGAGGAGGAGGAGGAGGAGGAGGGAGGAGGAGGTCGAGGAGGAAGTGGAAGAGGAAAAGGAGAAGAGGGAGGGGGAGGAAGGAGGAGGGGACGAGGTGGAAGGAGGAAGTAAGCGGAGGGAGGGAGGAGGAGGAGGAGGAGGAAAGAGTGAGGAGGGAGGAGGGAGGAGGGAAGAGGAAGGGGAAGGAATGAGGAGGAGGAGGAGGAGGAGGAGGAGGAGGAGAGTAGGAGGAGGAGGAGAAGGAGAAGGAGGAGGAGGAGGTGGAGGAGGGTGCTGGAGGTGTTGACTGCATCAGGGCTGGCGACCTGCACGGCACTACGGCCGCTGCGCCGCGGGAGAAGGGTTTCTCCTGACCGCAGCCGAGGTGCGAAAGGCACCGAAAACAACGGGCAGCCCCAAAGAGCTGCGCCCGGCCCCAAAAACGCCCAAAACCAGGAAGGAAGGCCAGGAGGGCCAGGGAACCCGCCCACGGGAACCGAGACCCCGCAGACAGGAGACGACTCCCCCCCAGGCGCCTGCCTCCTCAGGCCTCGGCCTGCTTCTGTTCCTGGCTCGGTTCCTCCTCCCCGCTGTGCGAGCCAGCTCTTGAAGCCCTCCAACTTCGCATGCCCTGCGCAGTCAAGACCGTCGAAGAAGCCGTCCGAGATGAGCTGCATAGTGGCCTGGACGTCGAAGGTGCTGAAGATGGAGCTTTCCTTGAAGTCGGTAGACCCCGGCGCCACGCCGAGTGCCTGCTCCGTCTCGTTGAGGCTTTGCACCGCCCCGTCTCCATGATGCTGCCGCTCACCCCCGCGTCCGTGCACGCGTCCGCGATGACCTCCTTGGAGACTCTGCGGTGCGGCACACCGCGTATTTCGCGACCACCGTCTTGTTAACGGCATCGAAATGGTCACGCTCTTGCTTACACTTCCACGCGGCCTCCCTTGTCCCCATGAGTTCCGTAGTCATGTCCTGGGAAACCTCATCGATCTCGATGTCAGTCTGGAAGCTGCTCTACACGGTTTGCGTGCTCTCTTCCATGAAGTACTTGCCGAGGTACCAGTCCATCACTCCGTCCTCGTGGTGGCCCGTCGGCGACATTGCCCCCCAAGCCGCTGTAGATGAACGGTTTCTCGTGCGACGCTTGGCCCCGAAGGGTTTCTTGGCCAGGAGCCGCTTGGCCCTCACACCCATAAGGTCCGCGGCCTCCCGCTGAGCCACCGATGGGGCGTTTTCCTTCATCATGTCGCTCTCCGCATCCGCTTTCCTGCGAGCCCAGCGCATTGCCCTCCGCCAGTTGAGGCCCCATGCCCCATGCCACGTCATCGTTCTCCTTCTCGCTCTCCTGTCCCCCGACGCCACGCTCTTCTTGGTCAGACGCTTTGTCTCGCACCAAGAACGCGGGTCCTTCCTGTCCATCATGATCCAGCTTCTCTGTAGCCACGGCGCCGCCGCCCTCGCACTGCTTGGCGGGGCCTTCGAAGGTGGCCGCAGCGATCGGCGCTTCCGACGCGCCGACTGCCCCGCCACCTGCTCTAGAGGGCCATAGCCAAGGTCCACCTTGCCCTCGAAGCCCTGCAGCTCACCGTAGCCAAACCCCATCGATGCCTGACTCTGCTCCTTGTGGCAGGCTGCCACAACTCTGGCCCACCGCAAACGGCCGCTTTGACGCCGCTACGGACACTACCACTGTTGCTGAACCGACCGCGCAGCACCATCTCACTTGCCAACCGAAGGTCGCCCCACCGCCGAACTCGAGGTCCTTGAGGAAGCTCTCCACGATGCGCCCGGCCCCAGCTTTTCCAGCGAGTCCTTCGCCGACGAACAGTTGAACCGGCATGATCATGCCCCCGTGGCTCGCCGCGGCATCGCCGCCTCAAATCGCGCCACGCCGCCCCGCGCACGCCCTTGAGTCAAAATGGTTTGAGCCAAAATGGCAACGGAAGAGGAGGAGGAGGAGGAGGAGGAGGAGGAGGCGAAGAGGGAGGAGGAGGAGGACGACGAGGAGGAGGAGGAGGAAGAGAAGGAGGAGGAGGGGCAGGAGCGAGCAGGGAAGAAGAGGAAAGGGATGGGGAGGAGGAGGAGGAGGAGGAGGAGGAGGAGGAGGAGGAGGAGCCTTTTTACTGGGGCGCGCCCACGACGGCGCATGATTGCGGCGACGGGCCTCGCGGAGCGAAAACGACGCCCGCGGGCGCCGCCGCCAAGCGGCGCGCCCCGCGCGGGCGGGCGCCTCCACGCCCCCAATGGGCGACTCGGCGCGCGACCATCTCACCGATCGGGGAGAACCTCCAGTCCCCCAAGCCTGATGTCCAGGGCGAAGGCCCCAGACAGAGTCGGGGCGGCGGGCCCGAGCCGAGAGGGCGCTTCGCCCCGGCGAGCGGGCGGCTTCCGCCCCGCAGGCGGTCGAGGCGCCCTCGCGCCGTCGAGCCTCGCGGGCACTGCCCGCGGCAGTCGGCCGCCAGCAGCTGCGCATTATCACGCGAGAAGGCTCCGCAGGAACCGCAAAAGGTGAAAGGCCCCGCGCACCGAAGGCGGCGGCCCACCGCGGGCCGACGCAAGGCCCGCCGCAGCGCCATGGCCGCCCTGGCCACGCGGATGCACCTCACGCTGCGCAACTTGCCCGAGATGAGCACCATGTCGTGCTCTCCCACGGGGGCCCCCCCATCGGCCGCGAGCCTCGGGGGAGGCCTTCGGCAGCCGAGGCCCTCTGCAGACCGGGCAGAAGCCGCGCTGACAGGAGGGCCTACAGCGCAGCTAGGGGCTCTCCAGGGGGCCAGTCTTCTTGCATCCGCAACTCTGTGCGAAGGCGTTCTCCGGAGCCCCAGTGCCTGGGCAGGCCGCGCGGCCAAGACGACGGCAGCCGAGGGCCTGCCAGCACACTTCTACATGCTCGAGCTGTAAAAGGGCTGGGAACGTAAGCGCGGGCGGGCGGCTTGAGCACGCACGCCCACGGCCCCCTTCACGATCCCACCAGCAACAAAGAAACAATGGCACGCCATGAAAATCTGTGTTGGCCAGGGGCCCCCCAAGGGGCCAGTCTTTCTGCATCCGCAACTCTGCGCGAAGGCTTTCTCCGGAGCTCCAGCGCCCGGGCAGGCCGCGCGGCCAAGACGACGGCGGCCGAGGGCCTGCCAGCACACTTCCGAAACTTAGCAAGCGCTCGAGCAACGGCGAATGTGATTTCCTGGCCGCTGGGCCACAAGTCTGCACAGGCTCAAAAAAATGTGGCTTCTCAGAACCTGCCTGTAACTCTGAACCACAAGTTGGCACAACCTCTTGGGGCACGGTTCTGCAAGATGCGCCCAAACAAACGCCGCCAGCATTCTCTCCCTCGAGGACCTGGCGGGGGCGGCGGCTGAAGGAGCAGCAGCCCCGACCGGAGCATTTGCAGGGCACGAGCGAGTCGAGGTTAACGCGGCAATGCAGCAACCTGGTGCGCTTTCGCCACGGGGTGGCAAAAGTACAGAAATCAAAATCAAGGACGTGAATGTTACGAAATCGCAGAAGATTCAACGCGCCTGGGAGCTGCCACAGCCAAGACGAGCTAGGATTCTCGATCACCACTGGAATGTTTAGACTGCGTGCCAGCAAGAACAGAGAGAAACTGAAGGCGGCCAAAGTATTTCCACGCTCTACCTTCAGCTGGTCTGCCGGCGAGAGGCCTGGAAGCCCCAAAGGAAACATGCGGGTGCGCAGCGGAGGTGGGCCGTCAGGCCGGTTGCGTGCCCGACTCATTGAGCAGCAGGGCGTGGCAATCCAGATGGCAACGATGAGACGGCCCCTCGCCCATCCTCGGATCAACCTGCGCACTCGCCCGAGGAGCAGGTCGTGGCTGGACGAGTTCTTGAAGTCCAGCTCGAAGGCGGCATGCTGCGCCTTGAAAGCCAGGCGCCAAGCCGCCGACATCCTCCTGGCGCCGCTGAAGACCTCCAGGAAGATACCGCGGCCTGCGCGCCTCACCCACGCAGCCAGCTGGCCGACAGGGTCGCGCCAATCCGGGAGAACGCGCGCTCGGCCTGGGCCTGGAGCCCGGGCGGCAGCCGGCGGAGCTGCTCCTGCACGCGCCCTCCCTTCGCGTACCTGTGCAGCGCGGCGTTTGTGGCCCAGCGGCCGCGCTTCTGGATGTCCTTCAGGGGCCGCGCCGCCGCGCACAGCTCGTGGCTGGCCCCCCCGTGCAGGAGCTGGCGCAAGCTCAAGTTGCCCAGGACGTTGAGGCCGAGGCTGCTGACGACGGCCTTGAAGTGGTAGTTCCACCGGGCGTAGGTCACTGGGAACAGGCGATGCCCGGCGGGCGTCCTGCGGTGCAGCTCGGCGACGAGGCTCGACATCCACGGGAAGCAAGCTGAGTCGACCAGGAGGCTCTCGTCGAACACCCCCGTCTTGGACGGCGCGAGGCGTTCGAACATGTGGAGCACGACACACCACGAGCGCGCGCCGGTGGCCGTCGCGAAGCCTGGCGGGACCAGCTGGGACTGCGCCAGGTCCAAGGCCTCGCGAGGCCGAAGATACAGGGCGAAGGCCACCGCCGCGATCCAAGCGAAGGCCACGAGCCCCGGCCGCACATCGTCTCGATGATCAGGCAGACCACCGGCCACGGCAGGGGCAGGCGCGACCGGGCTGGGGCAAGGCGAGCCCAGCCCTTCGCGGCTCGCCCCGCGCGGGGGAGCCGCCCCTGCCGCGCGGCCAGGTCGGGCCTCGCGAAGGCCAGGGCTGCCGTAAACTTCCAAGCGTCGCTGCTCTCGCCCCCCGCCCAGGAACTCCTCGCGGAAGAACCGCGCCGGCGCATCGTCCACCGCCGGGGGCGTCTGGATGCTGATGCTCCTCTGGGCTGCCCACTGGCTGACGGCCTGGCGGCGGCGCTCGCAGTCGATCCGCGCGGCCTCCGACACCGACTGCTCCTCCGGGAAGGTCAAGCCCTGGCGGGGGGCCGAGCTCAGCAGCGAGCCGAACCTCTCGTCCCTCTAGAGCTCGCGGCGGCAAACCGCCCGTCGATCGCTCTCGGCCGCGGGGGCCGCCGAGCCGGGGCCAGAGGTCCGGCGGGCCGCCGCCGCCGGCCGCGGCGAGGCAGCAGCCGGGCGCATGCGGGCTGGCCGCGGCGGGGGGCTGCCGGCTACGAAGCCCGGGCTCGCCAGGGAAAGGGGCGCTGCCATGGCCCGCCAGACCCGGCACGGCGCCTGCCCGAACAGCCTCGGGAACGTCGCCAGCCCGGTCGCGGGAGGCCGGGTCCGCTCTGTTATGCTCGGACGGGAGCCAGCGCCACGCTGCCGAACAGTCCGAGGCCAGAAGCAAAGCACAGGCTCGGCGGCGGATCTTCAACAGCGGCGGGGATGAGGACCTGCCCTTGAGCAAAGCCAACAACGGGGCCATCGAGTCGTTCAGGATAACGCGTGTAGCGCCGAAGTTTCGAAGAGCTCGAAGGCGCCGTTTCAAACACAGGATACCTTCCAACACCACCTGCGACCCCCTCCGACTCCAAGGTGGCGACAATACACGATGCCACCCCTTCGCCCACACCTCCTGCGGCACCTCCTCGAACGATGCCTCCTCCGCCTCCTCCCGGTCCTGCGCGCGCTCGAACCGGAACGGGATCGGCTGCTCCAGGGCTGAGACTACTGCTGCAGGATGCGACGAGGACTGTTACGAGAAGGTCTAGGTAATCGATCTGGCTCGCTTGTTCTCCTGGGCGAGGGCCTGGCCCCGGGGGGTGATCTGCTGCTCACAATCTCTCGAGAAACGCGACCTTTCGTCGAGGAGCGACAGACGATGGACGCAAGAAGGGGGGAGGGACTTCTCGGCAACACAGGCGCCCCACCACGAGGCGCCCACGCAAGAAACATTCGGCGAGAGCGGGCGGCCGGCGTCGCGGCAGCACGGCGGCAGGAAAGCGCGGCCAGCGAAGCTCCCGTCTCACCGCAGACGGCAGACGCCGTCGCTCCCGAGCGCCCTCGCCCACGAAGGCGCACACGGAGTTCAGGCAGCTCAGCAGCTCGCGGCGGATCAGCGCCCGCGACGCGAAGTGGGAGATCACCTTCATCACGGCGTAGACGCTGCACAAGCCGTTCGCGAGGAGCTCGCCGATGGCCAGACGGAGGCGCCACCGAAGACGAACAGCCAGCCCGATCACCGGGCGATCAGCATCAAAGTGCCAGCCCAGCGCGTCGCCCCCCACCGACGCCCCCACCGGGTGCGCGGGGAGAGACGAAGCCCCGAGCTCCGCCTCGACAGCTGACGCCGCGGCCCGAACCTCTCGAAGACGGTGGAACAGCGCGATGAAGTTGTCCACGCACACGGCGCGGCATGGCCCCTCAGACAGGGCCAGGGCCGGGCGGCGATCCACCAGCCGTCGACTAGCTTGGCCCGGCAGAGCCCGAGCTGTCACAGCCTCATTCAGCGACTGGCAGACCCACAGGCCGATGCCCCAGCCCATTGGAGGGCAGCGGAAGCACGGCACCACCCAGGAAGAGGCCTTGACGGGCGCGCCGTCAGCGAGGGTGGCGACCCCGACGTCTCCGGCGCGAACGCGCGGCAGCCCGAAGAAGCGCCGGATCCGCGGGGGGATCTCGATCTGGTAAATCGCGTCGGCGATGTCGACCCCGCCGATGCAGATCGGCTCGTCGACGTCGACGGAGATCTGCGAGAAAGCCGCGCCGGCGGCGAGCTCCACGGAATCCGCCATGCGGAACCTGAGCGAGGCGTGGCGGCCGTCGAGGATCATGCGAAATTGCCCGTTCTTCTCGCGGACAAAGAACAGGCCCACGCAGCACTCGGCCGCGCCGTGGAAGTCCACGAGCCCGGCATCTTGAAGCCTCCGAACCACCTCGGCATAGAGGCGCGGATTGCGGAGGGCAGGGTCAGCGTAGAGCCGCCTCGGCCCTGCCTCCTGAATACGTTTCAACCACAGCTGTCGGGGTAAAAGCAACGCTTGAAGCTGGCGAGCGATGCTCTGGCCTGCCACCTCGTCGATGTCCACCATGGGCGTAGGTCGAGCGCCCGCAGCAGGCAACGAGACGGAGTCGACGGCGTCGAAGCTCACCGGGGCAACCATCGTGGCGTCACCCTCGCATGACTGAGATATCCGGAGCTCCTCAAGGGCTCCTGGAACGCCCAGGTCAGCGGGGCACGGGCCGAACCGCGAGGCAGCCTCCCGCAGCACCCGGAAGACCTGATCGTGGCCGGCCGTAGGCGTCGATGAGCACGCAGGCGCCTGACCGCGACCAGGTGCCTGGCAGCCCCACAGCTCGTTCAGCGTCGTGGCCATGTCGTTGACCATGCCGTCGAGATGGGAGCGCCTCTCCAGACGCCTTCGGACTGACCGTGTCAGCGGGGAAGAAGACTGCGAGGGCGGAGCCCCCCCGCCACGAATGGGAAGGGAAAAGAGATCACGTCGGCGATCAGCAGCGCGGGGACGGGGAGCCTCATGTACAGGAAGTGCAGCTGCAGGCGCGAGGCGAACGCCTGCCCCCTCTCTCGGCCTGGCGGGCGCCTGGGCGAGGGGAACCCAGGCGCCGCCCGTCGAGCTCATGATGACAGAGCGCGACGCTCTTCACGGGCCTTCCTGATCTGCTTCAGGATCCCTGAGTCGCGCTCGACCTGTTTGGAGACGTGCTCCAGCAACAACTGGCAAATCATGAAGCGGCCATCCTCCTTGGCTGCCCCGGTGAACACTGCCGCCTCGTCCACGATGCCGAACTTCTGCAGCCCAGCTCCGCGCCCTCGACTCTTCTGCTTATCCTTGCCGTCGCCTCCGGCGCCAGCTCCTGATCCCTTGGCCTGCTGAGCCTCGAACTCCATGGGGTAGATGTATTCGTAGAGCTGCGCCTGCCGCATCGCCAACTCGACCCCAACAAGGTCGGGGAGGTTCAGCTGGTCCCAGCACCCGAGGGGCTCGAGCATCTTCATGATGTTCTCGTAGTGGCTCACCCCGTAGTCGTCCTTCGACTGGTGGTAGAACCCAAGGAAGGCATTGAAGTGCTCCACTGGGCCGCCCCGCTTCCGGTCGACGAACTGGCAGCACCAGAGCACCGCTCGGGGTCCGTCCAGCAACCACCCTGGGATGCGACTCTCAGTCAGCACCGGCACCACCTCGCGCCAGGCCAGCCGCGTGCGGGAGCCGTCCGCACGCGGCGGCACCCCGAGCAGCCTGATGTCCGAGCCGCTCTCAGCACACTGGTACACCGGCGGCGGGATCGTGATCTGCCTGATGGCCACCCAGCCAGCGCCGACGCGCATCAGGCCAACGTCGCCCTCCAGACGCTGCGTGCCGTTCAGCATGCTATGACGTCGCCGCGGCTGCCGGCGTTGGTCGACTCCACCAGCACCCAGACCAGCCCAGGAGGGAGAGCCGCCGGGGGCGCCACAGCCCCAGGCCCTGCTGGCGCGCCGGCGGGGACGGCGGGGGCGGCGGGCGCCGCGGGGGCGGGAGCCCCGCCCGCGGGCGCCACCCCGGCCAAGGCCGCGGCCGGCGGAGGGGCGGGCCCCCCGGCACCCGCCGGCACGACATCCAGCGCCGGCGCCCCGAAGTCGAACTCCACGAGCGCGCCTCCAGGGGGCAGCACCAGCGGCTGGCCCGCAGCGCGCTCCCACTCGAGGTACAGGTCGGAGGCGACCTGGGCGAGGGCGTCGCCGATCGCCTGAACCTCCGCGGCGTTCGGCTCCCGGCGGAAGCGGTAGAGGGAGCCTACGTCCACCCCCGCCAGCGCCTGGCGCGTCCTGCTGAAGACTAATGCCACGATGTCTGGACTGCCAGGCGCGTAGTCCCACCAGCCCTTTGGGCGTGAGTGGTTTAGAGAGCCCGCTCTGTTCTCAACCCCCTTCTTCCCCTTCGGGGAGGGGTTGACCCCTCCCCCTACCCCCTCCCCCTGGGCCTGGAGAGGGCGTTCCGCGGGTGGTCAGAGGGGTCGTTTTTGACTCCTGGGAGGGCTAAAAAACGACACCCCTCACGAGGATTCTGGCCCCGACGGGGGGAGGCAGAAAAAAACCCTCTCCTCTTCTTTGAAACCAAAATCATTGATTTTACTACGGTTTTGGCCCCATTTTGGCCTTCCGAGGGGGCAGCGCTCCTTAAAGCTCCCCTCTTCTTTCAAGGCAAAATCATTGATTTTACGAAAGTTTTGGCCTCATTTTGCCAGGGGGCAGCGCTAATTGAAGCTCCCCTCTTCTTTGATCGAGAAGCGCCCAGGAGGCACCAAGAGGCCCCAAGATGGCCCCAAGAGGCCCCCAGGAGGCCCCCAAGAGGCCTCCAAGACGCCCCCAAGATGCCCCCAAGAGGCCCCCAAGAGGCCCCAAGAGGCTCTCCCGAGGCACCCAAGACGCTCCTGGAAGCCCCTGGGGCCGCCAAGAGGCCCCCAAGACGCCCCAAACGGCCTCCAAGAGGCTCCCAAGAGGCCCGAAGAGGCTCCCCCAAGGCACCCAAGACGCTCCTAGAAGCCCCTGGGGCCGCCAAGAGGCCCCCAAGACGCCCCAAAAGGGTACGAGGTGCCCGAACGCCTCACGCCACGAGGAGCCCGAACGACTCACACCAGGACGAGGGGCCCGAACGACTCACACCACGAAGAGCCCGAACGACTCACACCAGAAGGAGGGGCCCGAACGACTCACACCAGGACGAGGCGCCCGAACGACTCACACCACGAGGAGCCCGAACGACTCACACCACGACGGGGCCCCGAACGACTCACACCACGAGGAGCCCGAACGAGTCACACCAGGAGGAGGGGCCCGAACGACTCACACCAGGACGAGGGGCCCGAACAACTCACACCACGAGAAGCCCGAACGACTCACACCAGGACGAAGAGCCCGAACGACTCACACCACGAAGAGCCCGAACGACTCACACCAGGAAGAAGGGCCCGAACGACTCACACCAGGACGAGAAACCCCAAACGACTCAAACCACGAGGAGCGCTTTCTCTCCCTCCTCCTCCGCCTCGTCCTTCTCCCGCTCCCACCACAAGGAGGATGTACAACGAGGCGGGAGGACGGAGGAACAGGGGAGATATGCGGGGGCAGGCGGAAACACGCCTGAAAAACACGACTGTCGGCATGCTTCGCAAGAGTTGCTGTTTTGAGATGGGCTGGTGGGGATACGCGAAGCGTGAAGAATTCACTTCATACACATCGTGGTCCGGCGTCGAGATGAGGACGCTGAGGGGGTCAGCGTTCCCCACGGGAGGATGCTCCAACCTGCCCCAGACTCTCCGCTGATGCCACAGCGGCTCGCCGCGATACAGCACCCACGCCCAGGGCAGGACGCCGGCGGGCGGCGGCACCCGGGCGGCCATCCCCACGCCGAAGGAGACGATCGACGAGCGCAGCACCCCAGCGGCCGAACTGGACGCAGCACAGCAGAACGTGGCCTACGAGCACCGTGAGCCAGGAGAGGAGCCCGCCGCCGAAGGCCACCTCGACGGCCGGCGGGGCCGCCGGCGGGGCCAGAGAGACCTCCGGCTCGGAAGGCGGCGCTAGGGCCGCCGCGGGCGGCTCGGGCGCCGCCAGGCACGTCAGAGGCTGCTCCGACGCCCAGCAGTGGACCTCCCCGCACGAGAGGTTGCCGCACGCCACCGCCGGGCAGGCGGGCGCAGCAGGGCAGGCGGGCTCGCGAGATCCAGGCCGCCAGCAGGGGTCGGCACGCACGCACATGCTACCTACTGTGGCCTCACGACCCTTACTATAGCTGGCGACCACCCAATCGCAGTCGCAGAAACACGTAGCACCCCGCAGATGCGTGTAAGAGTGAGGGGGCGGTGGGGATGTCTGCAGTCTGCGAGGCTCTGGAGAAGCCCGTTGCAGGCGCCAAAGTTCTGCAAATTATGCAGCGAGCCCGCCGCAGGCGCCGAATATTCTTCAAACCAATGTGGATCAGTCCTCCTGCTCATCCCCCGCCCCCCTCATTGTCCTTTTCCTCGTGTTCCTCTTCCCACCTTCCTTCTCCTCCTCCTCCTCCTCCTCCTCCTCCTCCTCCTCCTCCACTTCCTCCTCCTCCTCCTCCTCCTCCGTCTCCTCAGGCTGCTCCTCCGCCTCCTCCGCCCGCTCCTCCGTCTCATCCTCCACCACCACCACATCTTCCTCCCCCTCATCATCATCATCATCATCATCATCATCATCATCATCATCATCATCATCATCATCATCATCATCATCATCATCATCATCATCACCATCATCATCATCATCAGCAGCAGCATCATCATCATCATCATCCTCAGCAACAGCATCATCATCAGCATCAGCATCCTCGTCAGCAACAGCAGCATCGTCATCAGAAGCACCAGTATCATCACCATCATCATCATCATCAGCAGCACCACCATCGTAAGCATCCTCATTAGCAGCAGCATCATCAGCAACAGCATCAGCATCAGCATCATCGTTATCGTCATCATAATCATCATCAGCATGATCATCATCATTACCATCATCGCCAGCATCAGCATCATCATCAGCAACATGATCATCATCAGCAGCAGCACCATCAACATCATCATCAACATAGTCAACATCATCATCATCATCATCATCATCAGCATCATCAGCATCATCATCGTGATCGTCATCATCAGCAGCAGCATCATCATTATCATCATCGTTATCATCATTATCTTACTCATCATGATCACCCCCATCGCCCACAGCATCATCATCAGCGTCTTCATCATCACTATACCATCAGCATCAGCATCAGCATCAGCATCATCATCAGTAGCAGCATCATCAGCATCATAATCCTCCTCCTCCTCCTCCTCCTCCTCCTCCTCCTCCTCCTCCTCCTCCCCCGCATCATCATCATCATCATCATCATCATCATCAGCAGCAGCAGCAGCATCATCATCACTATCGCGATCGTCAGCATCATCAGCAGCATCGGCATCATCAGCATCATCATCATCAGCATCATCATCATTGTCAGCATCGCCATCCTCATCATCGTCCTCATCATCATCGTCAGCATCACCATCATTCTCAGCATCATCATCGTCGTCGGCATCATCATCATCACCATCAGCGCATGATCAACATATCCTGGTCCTGGTTCTCCCTCGCCTCATCCTCCTCCTCCCCACATCATCAACAGCAGCAGCAAGAAGCCGATCTTCATCATCAGCATCAGCAGCGTCAGCATCATCATCAGCATGAGCATCATCATCGTCATCATCAGCATCATCTTCTTCTTCATCATCATCATCATCATCATCATCGGCATCCTCACCGTCAGCATCATCATCGGTATCATCAGCATCATCAGCATCATCATCATCATCATCATCATCATCATCATCATCATCGCCCGCGTCATCCCCATCCTCATCCTCATCCTCCTCCTCAGCATCCTTATCTTCATCATCATCGTCACCATCTTAATCAACATCATCATCCTCATTATCCTCATCATCATCAGCAGCAGCATCACCATCAGCATCATCATCCGCGTCATCCTCATCCTCATCATCAACCCCCTCCTCCTGATCATCATCAGCATCATCATCAGAATCAGAATCATCATCATCAGCAGCAGCATCATCATCGTCATCACCATCATCGTCATCGTCGTCAGCACCACTATTATGATCAGCATCATCAATCATCAACCATCGTCGTCGTCATCGTCAACCTCATCATGATCTTCATCATCAGCACCATCATCAGCAGCAGCCTCAGCATCAGCATTAGCGTCATCGTCAGCATCCGCATCAGCATCAGTATCCGCATCCTCATCAGCCTCACCATCATGATCATAATCAGCATCAGCAGCAGCATCATCATCAGACTGATTGTAAGCGTCATCATCAGCAGCACAAGCATCATCATCAACATAATCATCTTTCAAAGCAGCAGTTAGAGCCGCAGTAGCCGCAGCATCACCCTCAGTATGATCATCATCAGCAGCATTGGCATCGGCATCCGAACCCACATCAGCGTCTCATCATCATCAGCAGCAGCAGCATCATCAGCAGCATCATCAGCAGCATCAGCATCAGCATCAGCATCAGCATCAGCATCAGCATCAGCATCATCATCATCATCATCATCATCATCATCATCATCCTGCGAATCATCAGCATCATCATCACAATCATCATGATCATCTGCAGCAGCAGCATCGTCACCACCATCTCCATCATCACCATCCTCATCAGCAGCAGCAGCAGCATCAGCAGCAACATCCTCAGCCGCATCAGCATCATCTGCATCACCATCGTCACCACCATCATCACCATCACCGTCATCGCCCTTCTTGCCTGCCTCACTCACTCCTCCATTCACCCTCTTCCTTCCTCCTCCTCCTCCACCTCCTCCTCCTCTTCCTCCTCCTCCTCCCCCACCACCACCATCTCCTCTCCTCCTCCTCCTCCTCCTCCTCCTCCTCCTCCTCCTCCTCCTCCTCCTCCTCCTCCTTTCCTCCTCCTCTGCCTATTCCTCCTCCTTCTCCTCCTCCTCATCCTCCTCCTCCTCGTTCCCTTCCTCCTTCTCGCCCTCCTCCTCCATCTCCTCTTCCATCTCCTCCTCCTCCTTCCGGATAGACATTGCGACCCCCCCAACTCAGGCGCAACGAACATCCAAACTTCAGTCTCAGCGACTGTCAGGCCAAGCATGAAGGCCTCGGGGAAGCGTCCTTCCAGAAATAGACATTGCGACCCCCCCAACTCAGGCGCAACGAACATCCAAACTTCAGTCTCAGCGACTGTCAGGCCAAGCATGAAGGCCTCGGGGAAGCGTCCTTCCAGAAAGGACATCCAGAACCCGTTCCCCCCAGACTCCCTTCCGCCTGGGTTCGCGTGGTGAGACACGCTTGAGAGTTCCCATTGGAGCCCGTTGCGCCGTGAGGTCGGCGCCAAAGGAGCCCCCAGGTGACGTCAAAATGTTGCCTCGGGGCCTGATCCCGCAGGTCCCACACTTCAAGCGCTCTTTGCACCAGGCCTGGTATGTGGAATCATCCTCCTTCTCCTGCTCCTCCTCCTCCTCCTTCTCCTCCTCCTCCTTCTCCTCCTCCTCCTCATCATACTACTCTTCATCCTCATCCTCCTCTTCCTTCTCGGCCTCGTTATTTCCCGCGCCCCCTCTTCCTTCTCATCTGCCTCTACTTCCTCCTCCTCCTCCTCCTCCTGTCACACCTCGTCTTCCTACTAGGAGGGTGCAAATATAGAAAACCAACCCTTTCCGAAATGCCATGGGACCTTCCATTGTTAGCACCAAGCGGGCACGAGACCGCCCACAAGCCTCCCACCACCGAAGGTAGGTCAACTTCCAGCAGCGGTCCTTCTCTCTGGCTACCATCTGTGCAAGGTTCATCACGGTGTTGATCGCAGAACCCTTGGCCACCAAGGCCACGTCGGTAGCCCGCACCTCAGGAAGGAGCGAAAGACACCCCCACCCACCCCGACCAGCTCGACGGACAAGGGTCCTCCTCCGCCACCTCCCCCTCCCCCAAACTCCTCGAGACTCATGCTCCCCGCGTCAACTTGAGAAGGCACGGGGCGTCAAGGACGAGAGCACGGTGCCGCTCGAACTGGGGGGCGGGTCCTCCACACTGCGACCGGCAAAATCGACGCTCCTGCCTTCAGCGCGCGCGCTCTTGCCCACTCCTAACTCTGGCCATGTACACCGGCGGCGCGCCCTGGGGAGAAACAGAGTGGGCGTGCCTTCTCAGAAGGCTCAGAAGGTATCTAGTCCTCCGAGAAGCTTTCTGAGCCTTCTCCGAAGACGGAGGCGGCTTATCAGACGGCCCGAAGGCTTCCGAGGCACCCCGCCGGCCCTGTGAGACGGCCTGCCTCCTCTTGCTTCCCCGCTCGGCTCGCCGCCGAGTACAGCTCTGCTTCCTTGGCCTTCTCAAACGGCCGCAGGGTGCCCGCAGAAGGCCCCGAAACTCTGCGGCGCTCTCGCGCCAGCTTTCCGAGCACGCCGGGAGTCCCCCTGCGCGGCTCCTGCGGCGCGGCCCAAGCTGACCATGCAAGGGCGATGCCCTGTCGCGAGCTCCCTGAATAGCTGTCGAAAGCAAGAACCCAATCCTGTCACCCAGCCATGGCTGGGGTCGGGGCGGGGACTAACCCAGCTCAGCGCAAACCTGGCTCAGTCAATGTGTCAGGCCACCTCTGGGGCCACGAGCGGCTTACAAACCTGGCGCAGCCACCATCCGGCCCTGCAAGATCCTGCAGGATCTGGCGCACTGGCTGAGCCCCTTTGTGCGCTGAACCCCGTTACCTGCCGGCCGATGGGATGGGGGGTGGGGGGGTAGCCTGGGCCCATTCCTCCCAGCATCCGCGGCGCGCACCTCCTCCGCCGCGGCGGAGCCACAGCGGCGCTCGAAGCGCCCGGCGCCGAGGTAGCGGTACAGGCCGTGGGGCCCCGAGACGCCGAGCGAGGAGCCCGAGGAGAGGCTGCCGGCGAAGTGGCTAAACTTGCCGCCGTCCGGCGGGGCCATCTCTGGCGTGACCAACTGCACCACGACGTCGTACCTCGGTCGGGGAAACTGGGGAACAAAAAAAACGGCACGAACATGACCTTTCGAGGGTCCGCGCGGAGTTCTTGGATCCGCGCTGCGCTGGACCCCCCCTCCCTGATGCCGATCCAAGAAATCTGCGAGGACAGTCAAAAATTTGTGTATGCCGTTTTCCTCTTCGAGACACGTGCGACTCGGGCTTGAGCGGCTGAAACTGGCCTGGCGGGCCCTTCGGGAAACCGACGAGGCCCAGCCAGAGATCTGACGCGAGCTCCCGCTGCAAGCATCGGGACGGGGCCGTCAGAGCGTCGAGTTCCGACGAGTTCGAGTCCTACGTTTCCCCGCTTCGGGCGCGCGAGCGCGCTCGGTGGGCGGTCGGCAGGGGGCCCGCAGTCCTCCTCCTCCCCCCTTCTTCTTGGGCAGGGCCTGGCGCCAGAGCACTGCTGGGTCGCGGACCTGGCGCTCGCGCAGATCGGTCGGGGCAGGCACGGAGCTCCCGTGCAGCGAACTAGTGCGCTGCAGGGGGAGAGGAAGGGGGGCGGTGGCTGCGGAGGGAGGAAGCAGGCAGGCGGCCCCGTGGCGCCATGGACCCCACGTGCACGGAGAACGGCCAGAGTACGGCCGGACCTAGGACAGAAGAACATCCTTCGAGACCATGGAACCCTCTGCTGGCTAAACTGAAAAGCATTCTAAGGTACCCTCCCCCTGGATGCACAAGAACATCCAAGAAGCACGAATAACATTTGGGAACGCTCCCCGAACCGACCCCGATCTGATACCTCGGTCCGACAGTACGGGTGGGGAGTTGTCGGTGCTGCGTCTGAAACCAAAGTCTCCACTGCAAATGTCGACGTGGCACCACGCAACTGAAAGTCCGGATGCCCCAACATACGATGCTATCAACCACCGCGACTATTCCCACCTCCTTCCCCCCCCCGCCGTGTTTCCCCAGACCTCCCCTCGCTGCGAAGGAAAACTATGATGCAAGGCTCGTGCATAACATTTTCGGCCTCTGGAGGCCCTGGCTGGGCCAAGGAACGGTCAATTGACAGTTCAGCTCATCATGAAAAGTGGATCTCCGGGAGGGGATCCAGACCTCTCTGGAGAGCCAAGTTGCAATCGAAAAAAAACGAACAACAACAACAACAACAACAACAACAACAACAACAACAACAACAACAACAACAACAACAACAACAACAACAACAACAACAACAACAACAATCATTATAAGACTGATCGCTCTTACTTGCCCGTGTGCCATTCAAGACGAGTTCCCCGCACCCTCGATACCCGCCCTTTCTGTCTTCGATCACACCCTTTTTGGGGGGAATAGTTCTCTCTGCGGGGGGCGGCGGGCTTAGACAAACGGGCAAACCTGAACGGGCGGACAATCTTTCGTGGGCGTACATGCGCCAGCCATAGGCATTTGTGCGGGCCCTGCAAAAAGAGGAGGGGGAGAAAGAGGGAGAGTGGGAGGAAGGGAAGGGGAGGGGCAAAGGAAGAGGGACAACGCCAGGAGAGAAGGAGCGAAGAGGGGGGCGGTTGATTAGAGGCAGAGAGAGAAAGAGAGAAAGAGAGAAGAAAAAAAACAAAAACTATAAGTGAGGTAGAGAAAGAGAGAGAGAGAGAGAGAAAAAAAAAAGAGAGAGAGAGAGAGAGAGAGACATAGCGAAAGAAAGAGGGGAGAGAGAAAGAAAGAGGGAGGGAGGAGGCAGGACAGGAGAGGGAGAAGGGAGGAGGGAGAGGAGGGAGAGGGGATAGGGCAGAGAGGCATAAGGATGAGGGAAAAGAGGATGGAGAGAGAAAGGAGGAGAGGAGGGAGGAGGGCAGAGGAAGAGGGAGGAGGAGCAGGAAGGTAAGAGCGTGAACGTTCGAGGAAGTCCTAGACGAAAGCGCCGTTCCTGAATGAAGTCTCGGGCGGGAGCCCACGACGGGCGGGCGATCCCCTGGCGGGCGGGTCGGGCGGGCGGGACATCCAAGCGGGATGCCTGAGTACGGCGAGAGCGCGATCACTAAGTAACTTGTAACGGCGTCCTTGGCGCAGCGTGTTTCCTGAGCGTCGAAAGCGCGATTTCTTTCGCATTGAAGTCAAAGGCGAGAACGCAATTGAATAAAATGTTACAGGGGCTCTCTGGCGGGAGCGGGGGTCTCGATTAAATCGCGAAGAAGTCTTGATTCAATTGCGGAGAAGTCTCAAGCGGGAGCGCCGTTCCTGAATCAAGTGTGAGGAAGTCTCAAATGGGAGCGGGGGGCCTGACTAAATTGCGAAGGGGTCACAAGCGGGAGCACCAATCTCGAATAAATCGCGAGGAGGTCTCAGGCGGGAGCGGGGGTCCTGAGCAAATGTGGGGGAAGTCCCAGGCGGGAGCCGTCGTCGCGGCAAACCAGGGGGCAGGGGCGCAGTTTGAGCACCAAGACTCCCTCGGACAAAAAACAAAATGCGAGCGTCGAGGGGCGCAATTTGATTGGGCGAAAACCACGCGCGCCGGCGAGGAGGGATCAACGATAATCATTCTTCAGAAACGACAATTCAACAATAAAAACAACGTTACCATCATGCGCCACGCTTCCAAATGTCACGTGCATCCTTCTGGATACCTAACCCCATCGTGGGGGATTTGTCTGGCGCGCGGGGGCCGATACCCCCTCGCCCAAATATCCCGCCCAAGAAGGCATTGCCACCACCTCTTCCGAAGGACTTCGACGCCCACAGCTCGGACGGCACACCGCCACCGCAATCGCCTCGCGCACGCCCCGCATCTCGAGGGAGGGGGGGGAAGAGGACGAGGAGGGGAGGGAAGATGAGGGAGAGGAAAAGGGAGAAGAGGAGGAGGAAGAGGAGGAGGAGGAGGTGGAGGAAGGAGAAGTAGTTGCAGTAGCAGTACCTCCGAGGACGAAGTGGTTCTTACTCCTCGTTCGAACTGTCACGCCACCATCCTGCGGCCCCGGCGCGCGACCCTGAACGTTGACGCCCCCAGGCACCGCCGCCCCCATGCTCGCATCCTCCACCTGCCCCCCCCCACACCCTCCCAAGGAATCCCTGAAGTCAACGCTTCGACCCTCCATCCTTACAGTCCCTGGACGTCATCCGTCCTCCTTCTCTTCCTCCTCCCCCACATAACCCATGCTCTCCAAAAACTATCATTATTCAATGATTAGTGTTCAACAAGACCTTTTGGAAGCCCCCGGAGGCGATGCCAAAACGCGGGCCCCAGCCTTGAGTAAAAGGTGAGGAAATATCGAACGGGAGCGACGAGGGAGGACGGAAGGTGCAGGGAGGAAAGAGGGGGGAGGAGGGAGGAGGGAAGCAGGAGGAAGGAGGAGACAAAGGGGACGACAAGGGAAAGGGGTAGCGAGGAGGAGGCAGGTGGAGGGAGGAAAGTGGAACGGGAGAGGGAGGAGGGAGGAGGGAGAAGAGGAGGGGGTGGGGCAAGCTAGGTGCGCTCGCGTCATATCTGACGTCCTACCCCTCCCTCCCATCCCTTACCATGGCGCTGATTTTCTCTATCCGCGGACGCGTGTCGTAGCGGACCTGTGGCTCCGCGCGCGCGTGCGTAGTGGGTGGTGGTGCACGTGCGTGCGTGCGTGCGTGCGTGTGTGCGTGGTTGTGGTGGTGGTGGTGGTGGTGGGTGGTGGTGGTGGTGGTGGTGGTGGGTGCTGCTGCTGCTGTGCTGCTGCTGGTGGTGGTGGTGTGGTGCTGGTGGTGCTGGTGGTGGTGGTGGTGGTGCTGGTGGTGGTTGTGTGGTGGTGGTGGTGGGTGGTGGTGTGGTGGTGATGGTGGTGGTGGTGGTGGTGGTGGTGGTGGTGGTGGTGGTGGTGGTGGTGGTGGTGGTGGTGGTGGGTGGTGGTGGTGGTGGTGGTGGTGGTGGTGGTGGTGGTGGTGGTGGTGCGGCGCGGTGGTGGCGGGCGGATGGGCGCGCGAGAAAGAGGCCCGCGCGGGGGCGAGAACGCCATCCTGAACGACGGAGGCCTAAACACCGATCCGAAAATGAGGCCCACGCTGCAGCGGGAGCACGATTCGGAACGATTCGGGAGCAGAAATGAGGCCGGCGCCTCAGCGAGAGCAGCATTTTGAAAGAACAAAAAAAAAAAAAAAAAAAAAAAAAAAAACACAAGCGAAAACCAGTTTCCCGGGAATCCTGTGTAAAAAACAGTACGCGGGGGGGGGGTCGGCCATCTTCGGGACGCCATCAGGGGAAGTGGGAGAGTATTTTCATATTGTGAAATTGTGGAGGAGGACGGAGGAAGAGGAAGGGGGAAGAAAGGAGGAGGAGGAAGAGGAGGAGGAAGAGGAAAAAAAGGAGAAGGATTAGGAAAGGAGGAGGAGGAATAGGAGGAGGGGGAGGAATAGGCAGAGGAAGAGGAGGAGGAGGAGGAGGAGGAGGAGGAGAAGGAGGAGGAGGAGGAGGAGGAGGAGGAGGAGGAGGCGGAGGAGGAGGAGGAGGAGGAGGAGGGAGGAGAAGGGGCGAGGGAGGAGGGGGGAGGAAAGAGAGACGGAGGAGGGAGGAGGGAAGAGGCAGAAGAGGAGGGGGCGGAGGAAGGAAGAGAGAGGAAGAGGGGGGAGGGGCAAGCTAGGTGCGCCCGCGTCATATCTGACATCCTACCCCTCCCTCCCATCCCTGACTATGGCGTAGATCCCCTCTCTACTCGCACAGTCGGATGTTGAGCAGGGCAACGATCCTGGAAGGGTACGCGATGCATTGTAGAGCGCGGCATGGCACGGCGTAGAAAAGTACCGCGAAGCGTAGTATGTCACAGCATGGCGTGGCGTGGCGTAGTGAAGAATTGCATCACAAAGCTTTGCAACGCAAAGCATGGCATCGCACAGCGGCCCCGAACATAACATTGCATAGCATGGCGTTGAAGATCAAAGCGTAGCATGGCATAGCACGACGTGGCACTTACGCAATGGATATGACGGCTGCAGCTGAAGGCATGGCATCGCGCAGCGGAACGCAACCTAGCATTGCATTGCATGCCGTGGCATGGCACGGGAAATGACGCCAGCGCTGAA